AAATGTACTGAATTCTTGTATTTTTTTTTGTATTTTTGGTATTTAGTGAATTTTTAAAAGATTTTTTTTACAATTTTTTTACTTTTTAGGTGTATTTATGTTAGGTGTATTTAAAAAGTAAAAAAATTGCTTAAAATATTAAAAAATTCAGTAAAAACAAAAAAACACAAAAAATAAGAAAGTAGAATTTTCTGAAAAGTGTTTTAGAAAACTGGTAACCAAGCACAGTTGTATCTTCCGTCAAATTAGCTTATGATATTAATGAATACTTTATTCTTGCTTTCTAAGTACAACTTTTCTTTAATTTACCAACTATTGTAGATTATTTGACTGATTCTTGCAATCATTCTTTTACGAATTTTGCATGAACATTTTCTAGGCCTGCCAACTACTAATTTATGTTGTGAATCACAGGAAGAAGCAAAAATGCTCTACAGATTCTCAAGACATTGAAAATGATTTTCATATAGAGCAGGAGAGGTGTGAACCTAGAAAAAGTATTGATAAGAAGAAGAAAGTATCTCTTAAAGGATGGAAGGGTAGAGGCTTGTGGTGTCCCCTCCAGTCAAGAACTGGAGCCAAACAATCACTAGTTAATATGCTTGTAAAGTGTAAAACTAGGAAAACAAGTACCCCTAGAAGTGTCAGACCTCAGCTTCTCTCTTTCTCTCTCATTCCACCTCCTCCTCTATACAAGATTTGTGTTGGATTTTCTTTCAGATTTCCTTGCCGACCAGTATTTTGTTGATAACCAAAAATATATCGTTGGAATGTTAGACATGAGATGGAGGAATTTCTCAAATTTTTACTCAGATTTAATGAAATATTTGATAGATGCCCTAAGATAGTATATTTAAGAGCCTCATAAATTTAATTATGATTACATTTTTCTTTCTGCAAACCCTTCTCTCTCTACAAACAAGGATATAAGCTCTCTGCAATTTTAGTTTCTCTGGCCTCGTTTGGGAACATGCTAATTTAGTAACTTTTTGGCTATCTGGCTAAAATATGAGGTAAAAAAAACTAGCATGTTTGGGATGACTTTTTGGCTTTTTACGAAAAGATGTGCAAAAAGTAGAGAGAAAAAATAATCTTTGACTTTTTGGTATGGGTTGTTGGCTTTTTGACTTTTTTAGTAACTTTTTGATTTTTTGGCTAAACCGGCCTGTTGCCAAACGAGGCTTCTATCTACAGAACTCATCTCTCTTCTATCTTTCATTCTCTCTTTACAGATTATAGGAGTGACTTTAAATAATTTATCAAATTTTTTAAGGCTAATTATACTAACAATCCCTATAACTTAGGAATCGTGTTACTTTGATCCCTGTTTTTTAAATTGTGACATATTTAACCTTGAATTTTAAATCTTGTTTCAAATAAGGATAATTGAAGATACCATTACTCAATTTCAAGAACAAGTCAATTTGATAAAATATAAACTAATTTCACAAAAATAAATGTCAAAAAATATTTTTAAATTTTTAAAAATTATTTCTACCCACCAAAGATAAAATTATGTAAATTTAATAAATCTTTTACATTTTTTTTTTACCAAATTAACTTTTATTATATATTTGGATGATGATCATGTAATGGGTAGTTATTTTTATTTTGATTAACTTAGTTTTTATTTTTTTCAAAAGTCAAATATGGCGACAACTTTGATATCATTATTAAACTAATCTATTAAATTAAAAAATCCAAAACTAAAAATATTTCATATATTAAATATATTAATTACACATTAAAAGCCTAACAACTATCCATTACATGATCATCATCTAAATACATAATAAAAATTAATTTGGTAAATAAATAAATGTGTAAAAAATTTATCAATTTTACAAAATTTTATCTTTGGTAGGTAGAAATAATTTTTAAGAATTTAAAAATATTTTTCTGATATTTATTTTTGTCAAATTAGTTTATATTTTATCAAATTGATGATTTTATCCTTTAAATTGAGTAATGATATCTTCAATGTCTTTATTTGAAATAAGATTCAAAATTCATAGTCAAGTGTGTCACAATTGAAAAATCAGGGACCAAAATGACACGAGCCTCAAACTATAGGGACTGTTAGTGTAATTCGCCCATTTTTTTTTTACTAAATCTTTCACATGGGTATAAAAATCACACAAATTTATGTGTGTGAATTCCACACCTATGTAAAAAGTTTGATAAAAAATTTATTAAGTTATTTGGAGTAACTTTAGCATAAAACCTATTCCTCTCTCTCTCTCTCTCTCTCTCTCTCTCTCTCTCTCTCACACATTGGTTTATATATATATATATATAAGCTATTACATTGCATCATTTCCAAATTACATACCGGTTCGTTTGGGAGGAAGGTTTGGGTTGGGTTGGGGCTATTTTAACCACAAAAAGACAAAATAAATTTTTTAACATAATAAGATAAAATGTCACATTCAAACCATAATCATTTCATGTTTTCTCTTACAAAAGTCAAAAAAGGCAAAAAAAAAACTCATCCGAAACGAGACTTTTTAACCCCAAATTAAAATAGCCAAACCCAATCCATATCCCAAACGAAGGGGTAATTCTATTTACACATCCTTACTTATCTTAGTATACACTATTTACTCAGTTTACACTATGTACAAATTAAAACATTTAAGTTTGTCTCAATGCACATCAATTATTTTCAAATAATACTAAACTATCCTCATCTTCTCCAACAAATCCTAACCCTAACCATTGTCAACAGCCACCGCCTCCCACCAGCGCCGTTCCCTTCTCAGCCTCTCTCTCGATACGAAACATATATATTACTGCTGACACAACTTCTTTGTCAAAATCTTCCAGGAGGTTCAGGATTCACTGGCATTTGATGTACTCCATCAAGCTTCTGGTATGCTGTTTTAACTCCATAAGTTTCTCTGGGTTTGATACTTAAGACCACAAAGTTGGTTCCCTTTGTTCGTATTCATCATATAAGTTTTCCTCAGTCTTTTGTACTTTTGGAAGTTTGGCCTTTTACATGTCCTTCAGACTGTTCCATAGTATATTCACCTGGTGAGACTTGAAGATGGTTTTAATGGTCTAAGAGATGGTGTGTACCCCATGCAGGACTAAGTGGCAGGAAAGGCCGGCGTGCTTTTGAATGACTTAAATGCAATAAATTGAATAATATATCTTTGAAAATTGAAATGGTGGTTGACATTATACACATATTTGTATCGAGTGTGCTAGGTAGATAGTTTTGACATGTTCAGCCCAACACACTCGATAGGAAATGGCAAACGTTAGGGTTGAGTTGGGAGGGAGAGAGAGGACTGCTATGAAGGTGGTGATGATCAAAAGGGAGGGAGGTGACTGAGGGTAGTCAGAAATGGCAAAGATTACGGTTGAGTTGGGAGGGAGGGAGGAAGGAAGAAAGGGAGGAGTGTATTGATAATTTGATTGAATGATAGAAATGTAATAAAAAATTTAGAAAAAATGTGTATTGACTATTGAATTAATCAAGTGTTTGGAAATAGAATTTCTCCAAATGAAGGCTATATAGGCTATTATATATGTACCCTATACAATCAGATTATCATAATATACAAATAAATACTTTCCAGAATAAAAACATAAAACCAATTAGACATTGACTTATAGAGAAATGAGAATTTACATGGACCAATCAATCACAAAAATGAAAACAGAGCAAGGACACCAAAATGCACAAAAATAGAAACAGAGCAAGAACACTAAAATGCAAGCCTCTCTGACATTTTACAAAATTAATTTTCAAAATTTGAAACAAAATAAATGTAGCGATTGTGTGGGTGATTTTCCGACCACACTACCCGCTTAGTAACCAGCTGGAGAGCACTGGCAGAATAGATGGCACCTGACGGAGCTGCAACAGAAATATAAGAATCCCGCGGTGGTTTCGACCACCCGGGGGCACTCCGACGATCAAGTCAGTATATCTCTCAAAGATAAATAAAGTACTAAACTCACAAGCTTGAGTATCAAAAGCATACCTTAGACCCATGGGGGTGCCTCTCTTTTATAGCCAATACAATCCCAGCCCCAATAGGAGCCTGGCCCTAATGGACTTAGGATTACTGTTAATCTGGGACTCCTAGTGGGATTAGGATAAACTCTCTAAGAGTCTTATCTTTACCCAAACTGAAGTCTTCTCCCAATCTAGGACTCTTGTCCATATCCAAGTTGAGTTCCTTCTTCATTCTAGGACTCTTGTCCCTTATCCGCTTATCTCGGATTCCGATATCTTCGGAGGCAACCTCGGCCTAGCCGAGATGACCTCGGCGTCACGACCAGGACACGTGGCACCTTGGCTGACACGTCGGCGCCACCTTGCCACGTGTTGGTATTCAGAAAATATATCCCCACAACGATGTTATTGGGCGGGTGACGTGGTGTCTAGCTGGTGGTGGTAACGATGGATGGGTCATTTGTGCTTGACGTTCGGCCGGTTAAGTGAAACAGTATTTTTTTTTTTTTTTTTATAATTGTCAATCGTCACCTGTTATTTGAAAAAAAAATACATGTACTTGTTTTTGATATTTTTTTAATATATAAATTATTTTTTAGACCAAAATGACAAATTATTTTTTTGAATTAAATTTTAAAAAGAGTTTAATTATAAGTTTTGAATAAAATTTTTAATAGAGTTTTAAGTTGTATATTTAGTTGTAAGTTATAAGTTTTTTAATTAAGTTTTGAAAATTCTTTTCAAAATTCATAACCAAATAACTTTTCTCATTTCATATGTCACATCAAAATTCAAAACTCAATTCAAAACTCATAACCAAACAAATTTTTTCTTTTTAAATCATAATTTCAGAACTTACCAACTCAAAATATAACTCTATTATCAAATCATAATTCTAAAATTCTACTGAACGTTATCTAAGATTTTGCACACACACCGAGAAAAAGGAATGTGAAAGAGGATAACTTTAAACTATGGTTAAGTTAACATAACATGAATGACCCACCTTTTCTTTCAAACTTAAATGATGTGGTATCACGTCATTGCTTATCAGCAAATCACAAATTCACTGCACGTCCGTATGTAACTTAATCCCATAACGATTACCGTACCTGTATGGTTTTTTAACCAAAGAAACATTAACATGTTGTTGATGGTTTTAAAAGGAAGCCATGCATTCGGCAATAGCAGCAACAAAGAAACAGATATCAGTGAACTCTACACACACACGCACACAGAGACAGAGAGAGAATGGCGAACGAAGAAGAAGCCATGTTACGCGGCCAAGCAGAAATATGGCAATGCATGTATCATTTTGTGGACTCAATTGCTTTGAAGTGTGCTTTGGATCTTGGTATAGCAGACATCATCCAAGCACGCAGCTGCCCCATCACCTTATCCCAAATCGCCAACGACGTTGCCTCCTCACCATCTCTAGACATCGCTCGCCTCTCCCGCCTCATGAGATTCTTAGTCCACAAAAAAATCTTCGACGCCACAAATCCCCAATCAGATTCGGATTCAGAAGAAGAGACTCTCTACAGCCTCAACCACTGCTCTAAATGGCTTTTACGCGACACACAAGAACTAAGCCTTGCCCCTTTGATTTGCTTATTGCGATACCATCCATTGCTAACTGCACCATATAAATTCCTCTCCAGATCTATACAAGAGGGTGGGAATGCATTCCATATGGCCCATGGGCGTGAGTTGTGGGACTTTGCATCGGTCGATCCAGAGCTCAACAAAGTCTTCAATGATGGCATGGAATGTACTGCTAGGATCACGATCAAGGCTTTGATATCCGAATATAAACATGGGCTTGATTGCATTGGATCTCTAGTCGATGTTGGTTGTGGCACTGGGGGTTCCATTGCTGAGATTGTGAAAGCATACCCGCATGTCAAAGGAACCAACTTTGATTTGCCACACGTTGTTGCCACCGCACCACCGTGCCCTGGAGTTAACCACGTTGGGGGTGACATGTTTAGTAACATTCCAACAACAGATGCAATCTTCATGAAGGTAACATACAGTTCGATACTTACTCACACAATCTCTATAATAAGTTGAGGTTGTAGAGATAAAAATTTAGGAAAAAAAGCACTTTTTTCGTAACAAAAGATTAAAGTTGCTAAAATGATATTATTGTTTTTTAGCTATAAAATTAAATATTTAATCAATTACTATTCTTTTGGGATCAAAATTTATCTCAAAATGTAAATTATTTTGCCACCAAGTTGTTTTGTCCTAAAAGTGTACTAATAACGACATTTTTAAATTCTTGTTCCTAAATATTTTTCTTTTTTAACTGTTTACAATAACCTTTTAATGACGACCTTAACGATGACAAGAATTGACTCCTAAATGTTTTTTACAACAATTTTTTTTGCTTTTGAGGACAAATATTTAATTCTTGAAACCTTTATATATTGCCATGAATTATGAATTCGAATTTAAATTTCAGCTCATTTGATTAACAATGAGCTTGAGAAGGCTGCAAATGAATTGAGCTGTTCATGAACAAGCTTGGCTCGGCTCGGCTCGGCTCGACTTGTTAAGGGCTCAATTCGTTTAGTAAACGAGTCAAACGCGAACTCGAATATTAGGCTCGTTTAATAAAAAGCCGAGTTTGAGCTCACATAAGTTCGGCTCGTTTATCTTTATTTAAATTATATAATAATAATATATATACATATAAATAATAGTATAAATACATTATTTATATATTAAATAATATAAATAATTTTTTTAAAAAAAAATATCAAGCCGAGCTCGAGTTTCATTAAGGTTAACGAGCTGAGCCGAGCCAAGCCGAGCTCAAGCCCAGTTTTTTATTGAGCCGAGCTCAAACTCAATAAACGAGCACGAGCTCAACAAGCAAGCTCGATAAGTAAACGAGCTGAGCTCGAACTCAAAAAAGTTCGGTTCGGCTCAGTTCGTTTGTAGGCCTAAGTGTGACACACTCGAATGTTTTCTGCAAAAAGCAAAAAATTGAAGCATTAGCAAATTGTTGAGTGTTTTCCATATCTGTAATTAAGCCTTTCATTTAATGAAAATTTGCAACAGTTAAATATAGATTTTCACTCTTTATTTCATCCCCAACAAAACAGACATAAACGGAAAAAGTATCGTATAGAGCTAGTGCTCTAAGTATCTGCCTCCGACATTCATCCTTTCAAGCCTACAGAAGAGGGGTTATAATGTATATAATAATGTAATTTTTTTTTATTTTCATTGAAGGTTTTAGCTGTGTTTGAGTTTAATATTTATAAAGTCAAGTTTAAGCATGTTCAATCGTATAATTTGAGTTTGATTAATAAACAAACCAAGCTTATATATAATCCTACTTAACTATATTTGTTCGCAATTCTAAGCATAACTATTATGCTGATTTCACGAACTATTGTTATATATGTATGACAAATGAGTTGACATGAGAAAATTGTTTGAATGTAGTGGATCCTACACAACTGGAGTGACGAAGATTGTGTCAAGATATTGAGAAACTGCAGAAAAGCAATACCAGAGAAAACTGGAAAGATTATTATAGTTGATACAGTTTTGCAACCTGGTGGCAGTGGCTTATTTGACAACATAGGCATGGCACTGGACCTAGTGATGCTCACATTCTTTGGAGGTGGGAAGGAGAGGAATGAGCTTGAATGGAAAAAGATACTAAATGAAGGAGGATTCGTGCGTTACAATATCATCAAAATTCCAACTTTACAGTCAATTATCGAGGCATATCCAAAGTAACTGGTAACTGATGTGTTTCAAATTCAATAAGAGTAATATTAGAGATTCCAAATGTTATACTAACATTTCTACCAAATGTGGATGTGAGATCCCACACACGTTGGTAAAACATATCTCACACCCATATGAGACATTTGGTAAAAATATTGGTAAAACATTTGGAATACCTAGCATTTTTCATTCAATAATGAGTTAGGAACAATAACCAATGTTCCAACAAACATGCAGATTAGGCAAAATATTAAGTGGACCCCACAGAAGCAGCAGAACCAACATGCTATGCTTATTGGTAACTTTGTTAGTGCTCTTAGTATTAATGATTGTCCCTAGATAATATGTATTCCAACCCAAACTAAATCCTATTATCTCTTCTAATATGTTTTGGCAAAGTTTCCATCGATTGATCTAATAATTTTTTAGGGAACAACTACTTCCATTTGTATGATTTACATGTAAGAATATAGATAGATAGATATGCTATGCTAAATAGTTCATTCAAGGTAATCGCCAATGATGAACTAAAAAGAATCTCTTAAATGTACAATTATGTGTATTTAGTATTACTCTTTTATTGCTTTAAATAATAATTAGGAAATGTATCCTAGACAGGGCCTTTTGGACCCAATTCAAGAGCATAAACACAAACATCATGATCAAAGACTGTGATAAACATGAGTTTTAATTACACTGGATCTTTAGTTGCCATTGGTGGTGGCACAGGGGCTTCCATCGCATCTAGATATGTACAATGTATTATACATATGAATAGATATGATATATATTATAAATTGGATAAATTACGACAATAGTCTTTTATTTTTTATTTTTACTTTATTTTGAATTGATTTGATTTTAACTTTGAATTTATGACTTTGTCTTAATTTAATCCAATTGATTATAATTATTAGTATTTTTTTATTATAGAAAATACAAAAATAAGTGTCATATGTCAAATTTTTAAAGACAAAATCATAAATTTATTCAATCAATTTAGTAATAATTTTCTTTTAAAATCATGATATTATCAATTTAACTAAATTGCCACAAAATTTAAAATTTAAGATCAAAATTTAGTCAAATAAAAGTATAAAAATCAAATGATAAAAGAGATAAAATATAAAAACTTCCTTACCAATTTAAAATTTTAAACATTAAAATATATTGCTAAATCAAATACAGTAAATCCATGTGACAGACCATTTAATTTAATGAATTTTTTGTTTTCTTTAACATAGAATAGGCGAAAGAAAAAAAAAAAAAAGATTTCCCAACTGAGAGCATCTCCAATGGAACTGCTATTTCACTTGCCAAAGCTAAAAAATGACAGGAATGGCAAAAACAGGTCTCTAATGGTCTGCTATTTCACTTGCTAAAGATGACAGATGCCATATGTGTTCTCAAATATGGCAAATGAAATAGCAGCTGCCAAGCTTGCCAAATCAGCAAAAATGAACAACAATTTGGCACCAAATTCAGTTGAAAACAACATGAATTTAAACAGTAAGGAACCCATTTTTCAAAATCAAACCCAATTTTGAGATGAAAACAATTTTCAGAATGAAATTGAGACAAACCCAAATTCAGTTTCTCACTTTTTTTTTTTTAATTCATTTATCACCAAATCTCAGTCAATCCAAATCAGATGTTTACAGATCCGTTATGAAGACAGATATCAAAAATTGAAGACAGATATCAAACGAAATCAGATGGTATGAAGATAGATATGAACAAAAATCATGATGGTATGAAGACAGATATGATATGAAAATCAAATGAACAAAAATCGATCACAAAAAATAATTAAGAAAATTTGAAAAAAAAAACATACCAGATTTGAGTTGTTTGCAGATCCAGTTTAAATCCATTCTGAGCTTTGAGTTTCAAAAACCACGATCGCCAATCCACATCAACAACCAAAAGAGGGGTTTCAATCTACATCACACAGTGAGAGACTAAAAAGGACACCGAATGAGAGAGTCAGAGAGGGGTTTCGATCATGGAGGAGAAGGGGGAGTGATTTCAGAAGAGGGAGACGGAGTAAGAGAGTGAGCGAGTGAGAAGGAGACAGACTGAGAGAGTGAGAGAGGTTTCGATCATGGATGAGAGGAGTGAGAGACTGATCCATATCAACAACCAGAAGAGGGGTTTCGATCCACATCACACAGTGAGAGACTGAGAAGAAGACTGAGTGATAGAATGAGAGAGTTAGAGAGGGGTTTCGATCATGGAGGAGAAGGGGGTGTGGTTTCAAAAGAGGGAGATAGAGTGAGAGAATGAGACAGTGAAAGGGAGACAGAGTGAGAGAGGTTTCGATCATGGAGAAGAGAAAGGAGAGGGGTTTGAGGAGAGAAAGACAGAGTGAGAGAGAGGATAAGGGTGGATCATTCTAGATGTATGGAGGCAAACGGTGATGCCTCAGTGTAATAAAGAGTCGTTGGGCTCTGTTTAGTTTGTTTAACAAAAAAAAAATGTAAACAAAATGTCACAAAAATAAAATAGATAAATAATGCTCTGTAAATAAAATAGAATAGATATATAATGTCACCCAAAAAAAAATGCTTTGTTTGGTTTTTTCCAAATTTTCGTTTTTTTTTAATTTTTTATATTTGTCTAGTTAGAAATAATATAAATATATAATTTTTTTAACAAAAAGGTAAAAAAATGTCACAAAAGACAAAAAATAAACAAAAATAAAATCACAAAAAACCTATATCCAAACAACACCTACAAACTTGGAAGAAAAATTAGTTGAGATTTGTCAAAAATAACAAATGACCATTGAAACACTATTACTGTCACGACCCGAACCCGCCCCCATGGGTTAAGGACGTAACCGGCCAGTAATCCTAAGAATCCCTACGGTCTCAAGCCAAAACAGACTTAACATATCAGAGTAAAGGGGGGCCAAAAGGGAAGCAAAATTTTTAAAATTTTGTCCATAGAGCTGTGCTTACATGGCACATCAAAACAAACCATACACATGTACATTAATAACTCAAAACGGAAACATAGCGACATAGGTTCTGTACAGACAGGATCATCCAAAACTAAGTCAACCCATAAAAACTATAAGCAGACATATACAAAACTTCGCCATCCTGACAAAATGTAAGTACATAACAAAAAGGCGAAGACGGGTCTCATGCGTGAGACACAAGGGCTGACTCTCTCAAAACCTTAGTTGTTCCAAGCAGACTTCACTGGGCTGGGTTTGTGCTTCTCTTGGCTCACCTACAAGACACATGAATGAGCGTGAGCGATAGCCCAGTGAATAATATCAAATATGACAATTACATAACGATGTGTAGAACAACATGCTCCAAACGGCCTTGGGCCCAATACATACTTCTATTTAACAAATATATATACAACTATACGAAATTCAAATCAAGTAATTGTAGTTCCAAACATTCTGGCCTTTGGCCCATTCGGATTTCCATTCATGGCAAAACGGCCTTCGGCCCATACATTCGTGTCAAAACGGCCTTCGGCCCATACATTCGTGTCAAAACGGCCTTCGGCCCATACATTCGTGTCAAAACGGCCTTCGGCCCATACATTCGTGTCAAAACGGCCTTCGGCCCATACATTCGTGTCAAAACGGCCTTCGGCCCATACATTCGTGTCAAAACGGCCTTCGGCCCATACATTCGTGTCAAAACGGCCTTCGGCCCATACATTCGTGTCAAAACGGCCTTCGGCCCATACATTCGTGTCAAAACGGCCTTCGGCCCATACATTCGTGTCAAAACGGCCTTCGGCCCATACATTCGTGTCAAAACGGCCTTCGGCCCATACATTCGTGTCAAAACGGCCTTCGGCCCATTCATTCAAGTCAAGACGACCTTTGGTCCTCGGTCCGTTCATTTCTACCAAAACGACCTTTGGTCCATTCAAAACCCAGCAAAGGTCTTGTAATTTAATTCAACAAGGTTTCAGTCAAATTATATCCAATGAGGGTTTCTATCAGGTCATTCAGACAAGGGTTCTAAAGGACCAATTAGATAAAAGTTTCTTAAATGCGGGTACATTCAGTTCGTGAGGCTCACTTCGTTGCTTAGGTACTTGGTTGACAGTTTCACAACTGTCCTAGTCTAGCAGTACTCAAAGTCAAATTAGGTTTCATTCATCACAACTGTTTATATCAAATGACTCAGGTCATGTACAATATGACATGTTCACATAAGTCCAGGTGTAGGATGCATGCATGCAGTGTTCATATCAAAAGGTATGTTATCATAATCAGATCAGTAGTTCCCAATAAGTCTTATATACAAGCACATTGTGCACGAGTAACACAGTAACAAAGGTTCCTCAGTACACATAACATTAGGATTGTCACGCCAAAGTTCCAAATCAGTCACAAAAACATAGGCTTACGATTCAGCTCAGTTTAGTCACACAGTTCAGTCAATTTTCCGACCAGTTCCACATACATTGATCCATAATTTGCAAGAGTTATTATTTGGGGGTGCTCACTTAGTTATACAATCACGAGGTTCACAAATCAGTGTTTAGTCATTTGCACGACAGTAGTATAACAAATCAACCCTGAGGCAGGGGTTTAGATGTTACAGCATGTGTAGAGTTAAGTCAATATCCAATACATATTTCACAATTTCCCTAATGAAACATACACATTCAATGGAATACGGGCCCATCTGATAGGTCGTAACCCAATTAGTACACATGACAGCAGATATGAAGGAATTGCCGATCCGGAATCAAATAATATCCCAAGCAAAATGTACACATGTACAAATTCAGACCAATCAACACATAGGGGCATTCATTTGTGAACAGTAGTAGATACCTGGGATAATGGTTACCAACATTCTGAGGTGTTTTCTGGGCATGCTTGTTGATTACTCCATCCTGAGTAGGCAATTCCTACCACTTGGTACGATTTTAGCCAAGGCAGAGGATTCATTCACATTCGTTTCAATTCGGGGACAATTCCTTGCCGTATGTCATTTACCTCATATCTATAACGAGCCCCAGAAGTCTGATAACAACCCTCCTCGGTGTTTCTCACACTGGTGGTGGGGCAAAGGTTTCTTGCCGTAGCGGCAACTGACGCTGTTGTCCAAAGATCTCGCAATTCTTGTACTACTCTTCCGGACTATCAAGAATCGGGCTGTGGAAGGACCTCCAACCCGTATGCCTTAATTTGCCCATTACTCTACACAATTCTTTAAAAACTTACCAAATACTGGGATGCCCCAATACAGAAATTTAAACACAAAATCACATGAGTACATTCGACATAGCACATTGTTATATCTCCTTTACATTCATACGCAATTAATCACTTACGTAACAGATAATTGCATATTTATTTCAAATATCGCATAACGTGAGACATTACTAAGTAATTATATACTTCAATCATGTTCATATTTCAAACAGGACACCCGTAGCAGAATGAAGACACATAAACAACTTTTCATGTATGTGCATTATACAAAACAAACTGTGTTGTACAACCATTTAGTGTAACCAATTTCATTATCTCCATATTCCAAATCATATGTGGTATTTCTT